TAATAGTCCAGCTAGACTTGTTTGGACAAATAGCTTGGCCTTGTTGGCACAATAAACAAGTGATCCTTGTGAATTAAGCTTTCTGCCTGGCTGAGACGGCTTGGAAAGAAGGTCTGGACTCAGGACAAGTGGGAAGTGGTTTCTCTGTTGAGGTAGGAGGAAAGATCAGGTGGCTTTTGATGAAAGTGATAAACCTGAGGAGCACCACAAGCTTATGGTGGCAGAACACGGATAAGATTCTGCCAACTCAGCTCTCCTTCCCCTTAAGCATAGTTTCTCATCCAGAGGAACCACAATCTTCTCTAAGCTTCCTGTTGAGCAATAACACATTATTTCCTATTGTTTTTTGGGGAAATCCTTCCTATTAAAAAGAAATATACCTGTGTTGATTTTCACAGAATTTGAATTTCCCATCTTGGCTAAGGCCCAAGCCTCATGTCCCACCTAGTCCCTTTTACATTCCTGAGAAAAAATACCCAACACCTGCAACTTAAACAAAAGGTTTATTTTTTAATTTTTATTTTGATTAATACATGTTTGCAATATATACTTACTACATTCATCATGAAAATTTCTTCCTCTCCCTTAATCTCTTGGTCTTTTTCCCTTTCACCAAAGATCTATCTCCCTGCTTTCTACTGTCTGTCTTTTATACTTTGGCTCATGTTTTAGTCCATAGTCGGCTGACTCCCAGACAGGATGGCATAACAGACAAGAGCCAGGAAGGGAGATATAAGCTTCCAGGTCATGCCCATAGTGACCTAGCTCTTCCAACCAGGCCTCCTAATAGGAAGCCAGCTATAGTGCCTCTCTAATCCAGCCACATCTCAAAGATGCCATCTGTGATCTCATGAAGCTTTAGCTGGACATCTAAATATAAACCATCACACAGCCTTTTTACTACTGACTTTTATAAAGAACAATAAGCCCTAATACAACTCATGAAAATGCTACATTTCCTTTGCACAGTTGGAGGTGATATGGCAGCTAAAACTACATAATTCTTCTCGGGCAGAAAATGCATCATAATCTCAAAGCTTACCAAATGCTGAAGTACTTGTCTTCTTTTCCACTTTTCTTTATCAATAGGCTTCTTCTCAGTTATCTGTGGCTTCAGATCAATTACATATTTTGTACTCAGAGCTTGGACTAAGTATACCTGTGTCATGATCTTTATTAGAGATCATGCCTTTATTGGTGTTCTAATCTAATGCCCCCAGGTTTTCCAATGAACCTCTTTTAGTCTTTCTGTACTAAGTTATAATTATATTACATTTGGACTCCAGGATTACAGGCAATGTTAAAAACTTAAGGTTAAAATTGCTTAGGTATTTCATTACTGGAACTGTGGAGAATGGATATCTTTAAGATGGCTAAAATCATCACTCAACATTTATTGAATAGGTATTGTGTGCTGGGGACAGCACTAGAGAACTAAGGCATTTTTCTACCCTCAAAGTAGGGGAGGGTTATACTTTACTAGAAATACCTACTAGATCGTTATAATTGGAAAATATCCAATCACCAATGTTGTCTACATGGAGGATCAAATTGCTGCTGTAAAGTTTAGATACAAATATTTTAATTTAAGCTAAACAACTCACCTAAAATTTTGAGAAAATTATAGGGCAATTACTGAAATACAGAATGAATACATCAAGTAAGCACTCTCTTTACTAGAAAAAAAATTACTTCTGAGTGATAGAGTTGGTGGCTTACAATCCTAGTTATTATTCCTATATTGAAGGTAGTAACATACACAAAAGTACCTTCACATTTATAAAACTAAAATATAATTGCTGTTATAGTTATAAAATGGATTTGTAGTGTGATACCCTAGAAATCTATGACAATGGTAAATTCAAGTTATTAGATATAATCCCAGACATCTGATTGCAAATCATTTTTCATCCAGTGTCAGAATAATTTTATGGAATTCTCTTGACTTTTATAAGCTTTAGATCAATTTGTTTACTAAGTGGGGGTGTATTTAATGTATCTCACTAGGACGTTTAAATGAGATAACAGAATTGAAAATGAGGCACTGTCTTCTTCTCTTAACCCAACATTGTAAGTCTATTTCTGGAATCCCAGTGCACAGAGAGCATGTTCATAGAGAGAGGGAGAGCAGTGGCAGGAAGGAAGAAGGTTGCTTTGCTCTAGCAAGCTGCTGTGAAGAAAGAGGAAATAGCTTATATGGTTTTATTAGCTCACAATCCTCATAAGTCTGAGCTCAGTGGATCACTAGCTTTTGTAAAAATGAAGCAGGTTTTTAAAACAATTTTTTTCCAGAATCCCCTTATAACATGTTTTTCTGGTTCTGTTTAGAACATCAAACATTTACTAAGTGTCTACCTCACGAAAGACATTGGACTTCAAAAATGAAAAGGGCATAGTTCCTGCTCTCAAAGAAGATCGCAGAAGGGAGATGACTGGCCCCTTCCTAGATGTTTCTTGACAAGATAAACTGTGGGGGAGAGGAGATCATTTTGGGAAGAGCAGATCATATTGGTTAATTGTATGACAATCAATATTAACCCAAAACATTATAAGACATATTTAAACAAAGCCTGGATAATTATTCTAATCACCTGAAAAGATGCATTTGGCACCATTTCCTACAGAGTCAAACAAGAGACCACACAGACTAATCAAGATCCTTGCCTGCTTTGGAGACATGTTGAATTTTATCCCCAAACTTTCACAGATGTGAGGATTTCAAAGCATTTTACAGAGAAAATAATCAAGGTTGCAGTAAGATACAGAGAAAAATAAAATTATAGAAAGAACTCTGGAAAATAACAAAATGTATGGGCAAATATGCAGGAATTTGCAATGGAAGAGAAATAGCAGATCATGGCATAGACTCAGGAAATAAGCTAGGTATTCACTTTGCAGCTCTTTTTTTCTTTTTTTTAATTTTTTTTTATTTTAAAGAGTAAAAGAAGGATAACATAATAATAGGGGGAGCTTACCAAATTACAGACAAAGTGGTAGGAAATTATCAATGGTTATTGTTTTACATATTGTTATCTACAAGATAGTTTCTCAGGAAAACAAATAGACAAATAATAGTGAGTTACAGACAAAAGAGGTAGGAGATTATCAATAGTTGTTGTACTATACTTAGGTATCTTCAAAGTGGCTTCTAAAGAATATAAATAGAACTATACATGAGTGACATACTGAATAATCATTCAATAATTCTCAATGGTTGTTGTAGGAAACACATAATAATAAACATGGATCCATTTATGAAATATGATAGGAACAATACAAACATTACAGAGTTATGGATAGATTAGTAGGAAAATATCAATGACTGCTGTAATACATGGTGGTATCTTCAAAGTGCTTTGTCAGGAAGACAGAGATACACAAGAAGAACCTAACAAGTAGTTATAGCCTAAGGGTTGTCAAAAATCAACTGAGCTGTCTGGGGCCAAAGCCATTTTTTGTAGCGTTTTCTCTCCAGCCTCCCATCGCATTGGGACCCCACAACCAGTTAGTGTCCTCTCCCCAACTGTCAGCACAGGCAGAAGGAATCCTGCTTCAGACTTCTCTGGAGCTCCACCACATCCTGTACTGTCAGGGGAAGAATGGCTTCCAGGGAGTCTCTGCAGGTATTGTGCAAGGTCCTCTTGGTTTACAGCTTCCAAGCAGCTCTCGTGACCCCAGTCCATAGGACCTCTGACTCTGTGGGCTTAGTCTGCGTTCTCATGTTCTCTGAGTCCTTGTTCAGCAGCTGCTCCTCCGCTGGCTCTGGACCTTTCTGGTTCTCAATGGCAGGAGCAAGAGTGGCCCGTTGTATGGCATGTATTCCCAGGGGTTGTTCAAAGTTTGAATGATCCACACATGTCCGTGGGTGGGCATGTCGGTTCAGTCGGTGCATGGTGGGCCAATTGTGTCATTGTTTCTCTGTGTCATGATAGATCTCAATTGAGCAGCGGCAGCCGGCCTAAGGCCGGCGCGCAACAGCACTCACCACCGCATGGCCCCCATGTGCTGGGGACCCTCCCTCTGGGGGCCTACGAGGCAGGAAGCTAGCCAGCCAGAAGACCGGCACTCCCCGCCCGTGGCTCCCCATGCACCAGGGGCCCTCCCTCCAGGGGCCTACAAGGCAGGGAGTCCACTTTGCAGGTCTTATGTTACTAATTACTTTAGTGTACAAATAACCTAAATAAAGGACCGTAAAAAAGCTAATATTTAGGCGCATCTAAAATTTTGACCAATACCCTATTAAATTTGAATCTTCTTTTATAGTGTCTAATTTGGCCCAAGACTGACAATATTGATTATTAAATGGATGAAGATTTACCTTTGTCTTTCTTTTACAACATTTATCCCTTCGTTGTACAGCATCCTTGAGCAGCAAACAAAAGCTGGATCCCTTGGTGAGAACTCTCTGGCCCAAACTTCTTGCTGCCTAATTCACCATCCATCCTTGGGTTCAATTTTATGGGTTGCAGTCCACTGAGGAAGAGAACCAGTGGATCAACTACACTGAACCCCTCACCCACCCCACTAAGAAGAAAAGAATGCTAGTCAAGAGACAGAAAAGGATGTAAAGAGCTAGGAAGCCAAAAGAAAAGTGAGATTCAAGAAAGGAGATAACAAATTAGTAGGCCCAACACTGAAGTCTTAGATAACTGAAAAGAGTTGGATTTAGTGATTAGAATTGGTAAACTAGGGAGAACAAGATGAGAAAAGACAGAGTTCAGTATTTTAAGGAAAAAAAGCAGCCAGAGAAGAAAAGAAGACAAGGTCACAGTAATAATGATGATAGCTAACATTTATTGAGGTTTGTTGTGTGTCAAGTATTCCATTAAATATTTGGCATACATAATCTTCTTACAGGAACCTGATGAAGTACATATATTGTCATTACCATTTTATAGATGAACAAACTGCAAAACATACTGGATAGTAATTTACAAGTTTATTTACTACATTACACTGCAGGAACTGATAAAGCTCAGGTTTAAACTTGGATCCTCTCAACTCTTGACCTCTGGGTCACTGTGCTTTTCACTCTTTTGAGAGGTTTATTTGAGCAAGAGGAAAGAAATGATTTTATCTTTATTTGATGAGCAGAATGAAGTTAGCTGGAACTTTCTATTTTTTTTTCTACATCTGGGTAAGTTAACCTGAGATATAAAAGAAGGGAAAATATGGTCATTGGGCTTGATGATTAGGAAATAATTTGAAATGGCTTTAAAATGTAGATTTCACAGAGGAAGTCAGTTGTTAGGCAATATTCAGTTACTCCTCTCATGAGTTATGCACCTTGTCAAGTAGACAGCATTGCTTGTCACTCCTAATTACTCTCAGAACAGATTAAGTCATGGAAAACAATTTATCATGTTCTATTATTTAAAATATTTATGCTACTCATTTCATATGAGGAAATTTGTCATCCTAGGATAGTTTGGTCATGTAAATCACAACTCCTGATTTCAGGATGACAAACAAGCGTAGACAAAAGAAGACTATTTTTCCCAGTCTATTTTCCCCAGCCACTCCCCAGGAAGGACAAGGGGTAGGTAATCTTGCAAAAACCAGTGATAGCCAGAAAAAAAGAAATACAAATCTATTTTATGTAAGTGTAGGCACTTCTTTTGAAGATTCAGAAAATGAGGCATAGAGGCATTTGACAATTGACTCACACATCTGTGAGTCAGAACTGATAATAGACATGGATACTTTCACCAACTTTTGTGCCAAGTTGTTCTAGCTATTGTGTTAAAATTTAATTTGGTATTAGTTATAATTATTGTTGTTTCATTTTTTGTAAGCAAATAAAAAATTATGATTAGGAGTTCATTTTTCTAAGTAGAGGCTCAAGGGAACTCAAAGTATTTCTGGGTACATCTTCAAGATTCAGCTTCCTTCTTGTTCACATAAAGGAGTAGAGAAATGCTCATAACAAGTTTACCGTAAGCCAGCAAGACTCTGCTTGCTCCAGGCCTGTCTTCATCTGTATTATTCACAGTGATCTCAGTGAGAACCCCACCTACAGTTATAACGCGTGAGCAGAAGGATAGGACACTTCAGTTCCACCTGGTTGGTTGACACAAGTCTTAGAGCTATCCAATTGATCTTTCATGGTTGATTTAAATTGAGCACTTGCTTCCTCTCTAACTCTGAGGAAGAATAAAGACATTTAGATATTTTGGACTATAGACATCATACATTCAGCTTACATCTCTCATCTTTGCTTTTTAAAAGATATTGGGATAGTTTATATGACTTAAACATTTTCTCCATATTAATGGAATTTAAAAAAATAATTACTAAATGCTTACACAGAAAGCAGGATATAAAAATTGTCTTGAAAATGTGTATACATGAGGGAAGGAAACCTGGATTTAAAGAATAATATTCATGTCTAATTTATTGATGCATATCTTAGCTTGAGATATAGAAAAGATTTGTTGCTGAGAAAGACTCATAAAAAGGAATCTATTATTAATCTCCAGAGAAATAGGTAAAACACACCAAATATATTCAACTAGCAGAGCCAATTTTAAATAGTCCTAATAGATATATGGATTTATTTATTTATTTATGATGTATTTGTTTGTTTCTTTGTTTGTTTGCGATACCGGGAATTGAACAGGAGGCTTTTGCAATGATCTATATCCCCAGCCCATTTTTAATTTTTTTTTTTTTTTAATCTTGAGACAGGGTTTTGCTAAGTTGCTAAGTTGCCCAGGTTGAGCTTCAACTAAGGATCCTCCTGCCACAGCCTCTTAGAGTGCTGGGGTTATAGACGTGTGCCTCCACATCTGGCTCCTATTGGATATTTTTCAAATATTTTGTGTTTTCTTCCTCCTCACCCGTTCAGATTCAGATTCAATTCATATTCACTTTGTGCTGGACCCTCTGCTAGCTGCTGCTATACCCTCATTTAACTCTCACCTCAACTCCAAAATCTCTCACCATTCTCATTATACATCCTTAGAGAATTCATGGGGCTTACTCAAGGTCTGCTGTAAGGTGAGCAGGGAGCTAGTGTTCTGGTGTTCTAGTCCAGTGTTGGATTACTCATCCATCCCTGTCCAGGGTGAACAGGTCCTCAGAACGAGGTGCCCGTGGATGAAAAGAAAAGTAAAAGAAACAAGAAAAGCAAGGGAAATAAAAGTCTGGGATCGGGGGGCTTACAGCCTCTTGGACTGCCCTCCTCGAATACCAATTTCAGTCATCTTTATTGAGCGAGAACCAAGGGTGTAGCTAGTACAAATGGGCAGGTACAAAATAACAGTTTAGCAAGGATAATTAAAGGATTATCCTTCTCCACATGTAATCCAAGACACGCCTGTGATCCCAGCACTCAAGAGGCTGAGACAGGAGGATCATAAAATCAAGGTTAATCTGGGCTGTATAATGAAGCCTTATCTTAAGAAACTCTAACAATAATAAACAAATCATTGTGTCCTCAATGCATTCTAATCAAAGAATGTCCTTCTCCACAGTCCAGGTCTTTTTTGATACCATAGTCAGCATTCCTTCTAGTAACTCTACTGTCTCCATTTCTCCAGAGTCAATAAGCAGCATCAAAATTTAGACAGTAGGGGCTGGGGATTTAGCTCAGCGGCAAAAGCGCCTGCCTGGCAAGCGCAACGTCGTGAGTTCGGTTCCCGGTACCGGAGAAAAACCAAAAAAAAAAAAAAAAAAAAAAATTTAGACAGTAAATGGCAATAGGGTTGAGTGTAGGGAAAAAGATGCTTTCTTTGTCAATTTTAATTTTGTGAACAAAAAATTAAATACAGGAGTAATTAGTACGGGAGTAATAAAGAATAGAACAGCCGACAGTTTATGCGGCATGGTATGAAACCATCTGTTCTTTCCCATGCCGATATGTTTGCACACGTGTGTTTCATCTTTGTAGTATAAGCAAGCTTGCTGCAGTGCAGAAAGTATGTAAAGTGAAACAGAAAATTTGAGTTGCAGAGTGTGTAGGTATGATCTTTTCTTCCTGCCCTTGGAATTTAATTTGGTCATCAAAATCTGTATGTAGCATGTGTTTGAAGGCAGCTATGTTTTGAAGGAGGCACTGTCACACTAGCATATCAGAGAACCACGGAGCCATGTGGAAGCTAAAGATAAGTGTTCCTTTTGCACTGCCTATTCTAATCAGTGTGCTATTTGCTAACCTCACATGAAATACCCTTTTGGTAAATACAGAGGCTCTCTTAAGGAAACATAGGGAGGAAACCCACTGATATTTTTAACCTAAGGCTAAAACAGAAATATCAAGTGAATTATTACAGAGCAAAACTCAATTATCCCTAAACACATTACCCTAATAATAAAGCTAACTTCACTTTTGTGTATTCCTTTTCTGGGGACATCACTGTCTTTAGAGTGTATCATTTACATCTCTTTTGATAAAGGAAAGCTTGTAAGAGTTTGAGTGCCTGATCTTCCACTTTATTTTGCAAGACTGGCCTTTTGGGGGCATGATGGTATGGTGTTTGTCCTTTTATGATTTCTCTGATGACGTTTGGATGTTCAGACATACTGAGAACAAAGCAAGCGTGCTAAGGAAGAAACATTTTTGTCTAACCCTGGCTCTCCCCAGTCATTTCTGGTGCAAAAGGAAGAACCCAGAGCCTGCTTCCTGACTGCATTTTCAGTTTCTTAAGCAACTGCAACAGGAAGGAATACCACTCAGCTTCATTTTCTATGATGAGTTATTTTTATCAGTACACTATTCATGTCACAGTTCAACTTCCAGCTTTTACATTTGAAATAAAACCCTCTTTTCTTTAAAAAAGAGAAAAGAACAAAAGGTCACACCAAAAATTGTACATCCACTGCTACCTATAAAAGTAATGAAAATGGAGGATGTACCATATATGTCTATACACATATATATCCTTCTACCATAGGTCAATACTTCAAAACTTGTTTTTCTTGGAACATGCAAGAAGACAGAAATGGCTTCATGAGGGCTCCATGATAAACATAAAGCTGGAGGATTTGCCACATTCCATATTCACTTCTTCTCCTTTCTCCGGCTCCCACATGACTCCTGGTTTTGCTTCCCTTCATTTTTTTGTTTACATTCTCCTTCCTTCCCCATCTCCCCATATCCTTTTATCTGGATATGTTTCTAATGTTGTGAGAAAACTAAGATTAAAGCAATAATGTCTAAGTCCTCTGATGATCTCAGAGGAAAGACAGTTCCTTTGGGTTTTCTGGTTTTTTGATGACTAATTTCTTCTCCAAGAGTGAACTGTTTATCTGCCGAGCAAATTAGCTCTTCTCCAGCACAGTAATCATCTGTCAGGCTTCAGAGGTGAGAGGTCAAGGGGTGACTTTTCTAGATTAAAATGAGATTGGCTACTTGGCGGAGCACTGGGTTATCATCGGAAAGCAAGGAGAAGAGCAGCACTAGTAGGGGTGAGGGCATGTGGAGAGCTTATCAGGGCTTTCAAGGCCTTTTGTAAACCTGCCCCAGGCTATTTTTTCAGACTTATCTCCTATAACCCTTTCATAGGGTTGTGCAACTTTTCTCAAGGCAAATTGATTTTGTTACTTTTCCCATAGCTAATGGAGTTTTGCTTCCATATCTTGCTCTGTATGTCTTTCCCACTGTCTTAAACCCAACACACACACACACACACACACACACACACACAGTGCTCTTTCTGCTAGGGAAAGTGTAGCTGTCTGTTAAAGTTGAGTCCTTGGCCCATCTGTGCCTTTACCTTCCTTGAGCAGATCCTTTTGCTTCCTCCCTCCCTTTGTGCTCTGAACACCCGCAGCATTTACCCTGTGTCAGGCAAGAGTTACTCTCCACAATAAAAACATGGTGGTCCTGAAACCAGGTATGACGTTCTTAGTAGGCTTTGAAAAAACATAACGTGCATTCTGAAAGTTTTCCTCAACTTTCCTAAAAGAACTAATAATCACCTCTGTGATCCCACGTTTTTATACTTGCTTCAGCTCTCATCATATGGCATTCATCTCTTTATTGGCACCTCTATTTTCCAGGGCAAGAAACATATGTATTTTCCCAACATCTAGCAGTTTGCAGAATATTGTAAGAATTATGTACATGTTTTGTTGCTGCTGTTGTTAAATAAATGATCGTTTCAGCCTGAAAAAAAAGTATCGCATGCATGTATGTCTTGGTAAAGAAGGTGAAGGCAGACAGTGAGCATGGCTGAGTGGGTCTGGGAAAGAGATGAAAAATACAGAGAGAATAATTACAGAAGAGTAATGAAAATAAAATTTAACTTTCCAGTTTTGATTGTCTACCTTAGAAAAGCCCATTTTTATTGGTTCTCTCACATACTGATTATCCCTCAATCTATTTGGCTTTTATCCTGCAACTGCTAGTTTTGTTGATGCTATAAGTTCACCAGGATTTCTCAAACTCCAATTCAGTATTTTAGAAACTTTTTTCAATTTACACACACACGCACACATACACACAGAGTTTACATCTCCAAATTCTAAAGTATCCTCTGATAGTCAATGTCCATTGTTGTCACAAAGTACTTAAGGTAATAAATTTAAAGAGAGGACATTTTTATGCGGGCTCATGGTTTCAGAAGGTTCAGTCCATGGTTGACAGGCTCTGTCGTCTTTGGGCGTGTGGCAAGATAGAATATCACGCTAAGTAGTATACAGTAGAGTCTGCTGCTCACTTTATGGCAGCTCAGAAGCAAAGACAAAGGAAACAGAGGGCCAGGGTCCCAGTACACCCTTCAAGGGCATGCCCCCAGTGATGTAAGATTTACCCCTAAGCCTTATCTCTTGAGGTTTCCATCACCGTCCAATAGTACTAAGCCAAGGAGCTAGAAATAGGGGGACACTAAAGATTTAAACTATAGCCTCTACTAAGTTACATTTAATTTCATAAATGCTGTTAATTTTAGCTCTATTTTATCCTCTTGAGCCAAACAAAAAACCAGAACCGCTTATATTCTTCCCCTTTCACCCTCCAGCCTTTTCCCAAAAGTTCAAATTTATTGATATCAGAACGTTTTCTAATCCCCATCTCAGTGATTGAGTTCTCATCTCATCCTATGGTCTACAGTATACTAAAACCCTCCAGCATCAAACAAAACCCCAAGTACAAGCCAGGCATTCTGGTACATGCCTGTAATCACAGTACTGTAGAAGGCTC